GATAGACTGATGAGAATCCTTTTTTGAACGGAATTTCATCTTGAATTTTTTACGCTTAGCAGCAAAATTAGAAGAATATCCCTTGAGCAAATCATTCATTGCTTCATTACGAATGTCATAGGGAGTTTCGAGGATCCATTTGAGTTTGGTATCATTGAAGTTTTTGGCATTAAGACACAACGCGCGTAGATCCTTCTTTTCTCGTTTGATACCTTCTTTTTCGACCGCAGTAAGACACCGATTGTATGTCCATCGTGCTGTTCCTATCCATCTTCTGAGTTTCAGACGCTCCTGCTGGTTGGGATAAATGCGAATCCGTTGCACCTTGCTTGCTGGAAGTTTCTTCACTTCTTTCTTGGAATTCTTGGAACTCTTGGGTAACATCTCTTCTCCTCCTGCGATTTGCGACTGAACGTAATCCATTATGTCATGTCACAAATACTGTGAAGTCTTCTGCAAGTTCTCCGGTTTCACTACTTTCAGCACTGATATCTGTACTGAGTATCACGAGCCAAGTCCCATTCTTTTCAAAGATCCATTCCACAAGCTCGAATCTGAAACGGCACAATCGGTCCTAATAAAAAAGTTAGTAAAATAAAAAATCAATAAATCAAAGCAAATAAATAATTAAACTCAAACCTTTTGGGTAACCACCACTTCTTCGATTCCTCCCGCGTGTATTCGTTCCAGAAGGGCAACAAAACCCCTGTGTTTCCAGTTGAGCCCCGAACTAATGTCGCTAAAGATTTCATATTCGATTTGTCGTTCAAGGTCGTCTCGTTGATGTTCTGAACTGACTCTAGCGTAGCAGATCTTTGTCTTTTGCGCGGATTGTTGTTGGTTGTCTCCGAAGATTTCTTGAATGTCTGAAATTGAGTAGAATCGTTTTCTACCAGGTGTCCTGACAATAGCAATTCTTCCGGAGTTGGCCCATCGTCGCAATGTTTCAACTGAGACGTCATACGTCTCTTGGATTTTACTTGCACTTTGGTAGGTGATCTTGTTCTGAGCCAGGGTTGTAAAAAAGTGGGGTTTGATCTAACTTAGTTGGTTCAATGAACTTCGAACACTCCGCCAAGGAACTAGTGGTAATAGTGGTAATATTCAAGGACGAGTTATGGCCATGAATAATAAATTTTTTTCTTCCCTTTCTTCCCACTCGTTCCCAAATTTCTCTTTCTTGGGCAAGATTTTTTTATCACAAAAAATTAAAAAACATGGTCGGCTTCTAAACCTTTCATGCCGTGGATGGTGGAAAGGATAATGCTTTGATGACTTTTTATAATGAGAGTTTATTGAAAGTTATTTTTCCTTATATTTGATTTTAAATGTGATGATCATCAAGTGGAATGTTCAAAATCGGTGGAACGGTTAAAATTTGATTGATTAATGAATTAAATTTTGATATATCCCGGCTATGGTAGGTAATATAGACGTGTATGAATTCATAATATTCTTTAAAATTAAAAAATGGTATTACATAACAATTAATCTTAATATAGCCATTATTATATATGGAGTTTTTTAAATAAAAATCAGTTTGAAAATAAAAATTGATAAATTAATAATACTAAGCAAATTAAAATTTTATTTCTTATTTCTAAATATATTAGACTGCCTGCAACGATATTTATTATGTAAACTAGGCGTGTAATAGTATTTCCTTGTTTTTACAAAAATCGACCCGATTAAAAACTACTCAAATCTTTGTTTTACATACTATGCAAATCACAGTTCGCATGATTATTGTAATGACCCATTGCTTTTACTAGACTTCGCCAGTGTTTTGTAGCGTGATAGTTGGTATGTCCGTTCTTATAGCCAAGTTTAATGGTTTTTTCCACATTTGAGAGAATATTTAATAATTCAAAAATTTGGTGTGCATTAACCTTTTGTACTCAAGTTGTGAACTTGAGATTCTTCTAATTCATTTCTTTTCTCGACTTTTCGTTCAATAGCTCTATTAAAAGGATGAATAATTAAAAGTGATTTGTGAGTAACAAAAGCAAACCTACAATCAAGAAATAGCCACACATGGCAAGGGGCTCATCATAAAGAACAAATCAGAGTGCTCTCCAATTAAAGAAACTGGCTCATCTGGTGGTAGCGCTATCATGTAGAACGATCATAATAGTTATCATTAAATGAGTTGTATTTCAATCAAAGTAGCCGGCCACCCATGGCAACGCGACGCCCCATCATAAAGAACAAATCAGAGTGTTCTCCAATTAAAATAACCGGCACATCTAAGTGGCATCACGTCGCACTATCATGAAAAACAACTAAAATAATGACAGCTATCATAACTAATTTACTTCGTTTGTTAAATAACCGACCCCTCCTCCAGAATCAGTAAATCTAGACAAACACTAGCTACTCAGTAGACCTTAAGCAAAAGCAAACCAGCTTACCTGGTAAACAAATTTAACAATATTTTAGAAAATTGAGAAGAAAATAAAAATTGCAGCAAAAATGGAAAGAAAAAAAAAGGATTTATTTATGCTTGAATCACATGACATGTGAAATAAACGATCGTCATTTAGATTATCCATAAAAAAAATTTTTTTTTGGAAAATTAATTTCAAACAATGGCGAATGTTCTTGAAAAAATTGCCAAACTTGCCCTTCCACTTGGGGCGGCAGCAAGTTTACTCCAATATAGTATTTATGATGGTAGGTTTGTTTATTTCTGTTAAATTTATTTACTATATCAGTATATGAATTCAATAATGTTATTCGCTGAATAGTTCAAGGAGGACATCGTGCTGTGATATTTGATCGTATTAAGGGAGTTAAGGAAAGGCCAGTCGGTGAAGGTACACATTTCCTCGTTCCTTGGTTACAACGCGCTGTTCTATATGATGTTCGTACAAAACCTCGCAATATATCTACAACAACTGGATCAAAGGATATGCAGACTGTCAGTTTGACTTTACGTGTTTTACATAGACCTGATCTTGACAAATTATCCGAAATTTATCAATCTTTGGGTATGGATTATGATGAAAGAGTGTTGCCTTCTATTGGAAATGAAGTATTGAAAGCTGTTGTTGCTCAATTTGACGCAAGTGAATTGATCACACAGCGTGAAGTGGTAAATGAAATATATACATACATATATATAATATTATAGTATCATTGCATTTGAATTTACGCGATTTTTAACACGTTGAGTCATTTGCATTTGACATTTTCCTTTTAGGTTTCTTCAAAAATACGCGAAGACCTTGTAAAAAGATCTAAAGAATTTAACATTGAACTGGAAGATGTTTCTATTGTATAGTATCTTGATTTGCAATTTAATATTTGCTTAAATTAGAATCTTGACCTATCTCTTGATATATATGTATGTATATATATAATTTAGACGCACATGACTTTCGGTAAAGAATTCACAAATGCCGTTGAACAAAAACAAATTGCTCAACAAGAAGCCGAAAGAGCAAAATTCATTGTAGAAAAGGTAATCATTTGTTTTTATATTGTTAAAGCATTTGCAATTCAATAATATACTTAATGGAATTGTCTTTTATTTAGGCTGAACAAGAAAAACAAGCTTCAGTTATTCGTGCAGAAGGTGAAGCTGAAGCCGCAGAAAGAATTTCCAAAGCTCTTGATAAAGCTGGTGAGGGGTTGGTTTTATTGCGTCGTATTGAAGCTTCTAAAGAAATTGCAGCAACATTATCTGCTTCAAGGAATATAACATATTTGCCTGGTAGCCATAATGGAGGATCCAATTTATTGTTGAATTTGGGTGTATAAAAATTTTAGGAAAAATTCTTATGTAATGAACTTTTCGTTTTAATTAATGAGTGATATGTTAGTGTAATTTTTTTATTTTATTAAACTAATTTGAAGTTTCGAGCTTATAGCGTGAACATACATTTATTATTAAAGATTTGTTTCCCCGCAGTAACCTATTTCTTAATTGTATTCTATATAAGGCACGATCTTCAATATATTCTCGTGGAGTTTCTAAGCTTATCTCTTTTTTAAACAAAGAGGGGGAAGAATTAAATGTACAATGCATTGGCACCAAATAATTTTTCTATATAGCAACACCCATAAGAATAATAAGGCACAAATAAAAGTAATTTCTTATGTGCTTATTTTGAATTTTTTTTTTTATCAAATTACGTAAGTCTTCTGTTCAATAAATTAAATATGCATGTAATGCTATCTGTAATATAAAAAATATAAAACATGGGAGAATGCAGATTTAATGGACAAATTACTTTTAATGGTTAATTACATACCTCACACAAACTAATAAATCTTAAAGTTAGTTATATTTATATAATTGACTAATTCAAATTTGTAAAAAAAAATTAAATATATATACAAAAAAATAAAAAAGGAAATTCGTAAAACAAATGTTACTTTTCATTTGTTTGAAATATTTGAAATATATAAATGTTCATCATTTTTTGATAAGATTTACGAAACGAAAAAGAGATTGATTGGTTTTTTTTTAAAAATAATCTTTGGTGAATGATGATCTCTCAAAAAATCAAAAATCACTAAATTATGATTCATTTTATGGAAGGAGTTTACTAAAAAAAAAAAAAAAGACGTCTTAATGATGTAACTTGTTCCAAATATTGCCTGTAATTTGATTGTCGATGTCATGTTCGAAAAGAATTGATAAAAATAAAGTTTAATATTACAGTTAATGAAATTAATTTTTGTGATCGAAACTTCAAATGTACGGCCTGCAGAAGAGGTATTACTATATAAAACAAACGAATTCGTTTAATCACTTACTAAATCAAGGTTGAAATTACTTTCTGAACAATAATAAATTGCATAAACTGAAAAAAAAAAAGTCCCTTCTTGAATTTTTTTATCGAAATAATATACTGGTATATATATTTCAATCAGCTCATTACTTTCTTTTATTATAATACACCCTAAACAATTTGACAAAAAAAAAGCCTTCATATAGACAGACACTTGTTTCTATTATTTATTATAGATATTTTTTTTTAATTTTTTAATTTTAATTTTAATTTTTTTGTGGTTTGACGAGATAATTTTCTATTTGTATATAAAAACCTATATTTTTAATTATCTCACTTTTACTTTTTAAAGTTATTAATTTCAATCAATGAAGAAGGCAAAACTCAACATTCGGTTCGGTAAAAAGAAAAATGGCGATAAAGAAAATGTTGTTTCAACACCCGATTCTATTCCCCCAAAAATAACATTAGATATTTTAACATTAAATTCAAGTCTTGACATTTTACCCGATAATTTGAACTCTTCAATTTCACCTTCTGATACTCCTGATAAAACTCAAGAAATTAAAACATCCGCAACACCCAATCAAGAAAAGTCGATGGGATTATTTGACGAAATTTTAAGTGAATTAAATACGGGTACGTTTCTGAACTTCTTAATGATCATCAATCAAGACCACTAATACTTAATATCATTTAATTATTTTATAGGAAAATCTTCGGATTTTGATGTTGAATTATCTTTAAATTTGGAATTATCAAAATTATTAGAAGCTACTTCGGAAGTAAAAGTACAACCTATTTCAACATCAACCCTATCGAATAAAAGTACGAATCAATCTGTATTTCTAAATAATAATAATAATGCTAATAAATTATTTAATCGATTTAATTTACCTGGAAATTTATCGAACAATTTAATTAACAATAATGAACCCGTACAACCTAGCAATCATTTGGCAACTCATAAACCATTGGATAGTGAAACTGAAACTGAAAGTGATGATGGAAGTGATAATGGTAGTGACCATAAGAAAGGATCAAAAAAGAAAAACAATAAAGTTTCAAAAATATCGAAAAAGAAGAAATTTGAATCATCATCATCTAGCGAATCTGAAGATGGTTTTATAAGGGTAGAACAATTGGCTCCTAATCCTAATGGTATGAATGGAAAGAAACCTATAAATCCCATTCAACGTCGAAAAGATATTGGTCAAAAACCTAATCATGTTGAAAATTGGGTACAAGATGTGAATCCGAAGGATGGTGAGAATAATATTTTGGATCGTATGAAAGACAGGCATCGCGCGGAAGCAAGGTCAGCACCTTCTCTACATCCTCCACCCCCTTCTACTTCTTATCCGGATGATGATAGGTATTATGAATATGATCGTCATGACAGATATGAACGAAATGATAGATACGATCCTCCATACTCACGAGACGTGAGAGATAGAGATGATTATTATGATCGTGATCATAGGGAACCAAGGGACCTTCGAAATCCTAGGTCGGATACGTATTCCGAAGACTCTCGTGATATGAGAGAAGACTATAGGTATGGATCAAGGGATCGGGATGATTATCGTCGAGATCCTCGTCCGAGAATTAATGATGATAGACCTATTTATGATGATCGGTTAAGAAATAATACAAGATATCCTCGTGAAAGGAACAACGATTATGACAAAAGTATATCTTCAAACAACGATTATTTGGGATATCGTCAAAATAACGGGAACAGAATTATGCGACAATCTCCAAGCGATTCACCTGACTCATCTGCTTCGTCAACTACGAGTGATTCATCAAGGCATCGAAACGACCCTCAAAATCGTTCCGTCATTAAAGTTTCTAAAAGTAGACCTTTTGAAAATGAAAAAATTAAAGAAGCTCATGAATCGGAAGAAAGCTCTCTTTCTCGTCAATCATCAATAGCTTCAAGAAAATATACTTCGCCTAGAGAATTTCAACAAAGTTCAAACCGCAATTTGTATGACCGAGTCGCTCATAAAGGTACACATAATAATTCAAAACAATCACGTACTTCAACTTCCTCAGGTGGAAGCTCAAATCATGAAGAAAGGATTGTTGAAGAATCAATTTCCAGGAATGGTTTAGGAATTCCTTTTGACCAAACAGCTCGAGATTCTATCCTTTCAGTTGATAGTGACATTGTTCCGTTAGGAACGAACATAAAATCAATTTCCAGGAATGGTTTAAGAATTCCTTTTGACCAAACAGCTCGTGATTCTATCCTTTCAGTTGATAGTGACATTGTTCCGTTAGGTACGAAATATGGAATAACCACAATGAATGCACAAGATGAAGAATTATCACGTGATTCACCGGATGAAAGTTCTGATGACGAACCTTTTGATATAAAAGTGCCCATTATTACAGTAAAACGAACAATTTCAAAGAAAAAGAGCATGCAAGCATCTTTTAAACCATCATCTTCCGATCTTTCTTCTGATGAAGACGATGAAACTTATAAAGGTTCCGACAGTGATAATGAGCCGCCGATACCAACGAGGGGCAAAACATATCCTCCCCAACAAACACATTCTTTATCATCGCATATCCGTAAAGATCGACATCAAAATGTTCATTCGCGTTCTGATAGTTATGATTCCAACTCTGCTTTAAATGGATATCGCGATCGAGAAGAATTCGGATATTATCCTCCCCAACCTCCACCACACGTACTACGTGAAAAACCTGCAAATAGATATCCCGTACCACCTCATCAATATCGTGATGAACCTCCATATTCGTATCGTGAAGAAGTTCCATATGATGGATCTCGTTCTAGATATGCGAATTATCCATTACCACCAGAACCATTGCCGCTTGATCATACGCCAGAAAATAGCAAAAAGGTCCCATTAATTGAAATGGCAGGATATCGTTATGATCAAAATAAACGTAATCAACCGATTCAGCCATTCATTGTAGGTTTGGATAAGCGCATTCGATCTCCATCACCACCAAATAGGTATCAAAATCGTGGTTATCCTCGTGAACGAGAACGCTATCCTCAAGAACGGGGTGAATATCCACCACCACCTCGTCAATATAACCCACCTCCACCAAGAGGTATCAAGAATGGTTATGATGATAGATATGATCGGTATAATGATAGATATGGAAATGATAGATACAATGACAGACTTGATGATAGACATTATGACAGATATGATGATAGGTATAATGACAGATACGATGATAGGTATAATGACAGATACAATGATAGGTATGATAGATATGATGATTGAATAGATATATATTAATAAGATGGGTTTTTTGATGGGTTTCATTTTTGTACATATTTGATATTTATATTTTCTTTATCCAATATCTTTAAAATTATTTATTTAGTATTATATATTTTATTTCATTAATTTCATTATTATTTCAATTTTAACTTCGATTTATATTAACTAACAAATCAATTTTATTAAAAAATAAATCAACTTTACTTGAATCATATAATCTCTGTTATAAAAAAAGTGCTCAAATTATATGTATACGTCACGTATTTTAAGGGTTATCTGGATTTATCTGCACTAATGTACAAAACTAATAAAAAAAATAAAAAAATTTAAATAAAATAAAGCTAGAAATTTTCAACCAAAGGAATTGATTTATACCATTGTTTCCACGAATGAAGGCATCACCATATTTATTCTTGAGCTGACCATTAACCCATTCTTCAGTTTGTTCAAGAGCAATATTCATGTAACCATCCAAACAAGAAAGAATTCCTTAAAAAAAAATTGATATTAGATACATATTATTTAATTTTTTTTTTTTTTTTTTTTTGTTGTTTTACCTCGATAATCAACACCCGAATTCAATTTAACAAGAACAGGTCTACCAATGACATTATTTAAGAATTCGGTTGGTGATCTTTCTTGTTGACTCTGCATTTTTTTTTTCTTTTTTTTTTATGGTTAAAAAAAAGGAAACGCCATCTAATTTTTAGCGGGCATGCTTATATCACAATTGTTGATAATTTCGCAGATCAATGAGAATTATCACATTATGATTATGTAAAATCAGCATTGAAACTTCGGGCTAAATCGGGCGAACTCTGAAAATCTATAAACTAAATTGTAGAACCAAAAAGTTTTCTATATGGCAAATAACATTGATTTCATAATTATATATACATATAATAATTCGGATGAGATTTAATTCTGAGCTTTTAAAGTGTAATAATCATCAAGGATGATTTCAGCTTTTGAAATATTCTTAACTTTTTGTGATTGACAAGATGAATTTTTACTTAATCCATAATAGTCAACAATATTTTCGATTGCCACACTAAAAAGATGGATCTTGCGAAAAAATTGTCGATTTGGTTACGGTAATAACTGAGCCCCGAAATGACTGAAATGAAAAACTGTGACACAAAATAACGCCATTAAATCTTCCCACAAATAATCATAAATCCCTCACAATAAAAAGAGCTCTTGTTTGTAGGTTCACAAATTATCGTTATATATCTATAATATATATAATTATCATACTACTACTATTTTGAACTTACTTCCTTTAAAACTTATGCCATAATGCGTGACAAAATTGCAAGAGCGGTTGAAGAATACATTGATGAACATCGAGATAAATTAGCAGAAATTGTTGAAAGAAATCTCGTAAAACTTAAAGCGATCATAATAGACGAACTTCCGGAAAAAATTATGGAATTTCTTAAAAAAAGAATTGATGATGGAGATGATGAACACGATACATTTCTTGAAAATGTTCTTAAGACAATAACATCATTAACAGGAAAGTTATCCGATGATTTTAAAGATGATGTTCGAGAGAATGTAAGAAGAAATTTAGATGAAGCGACAGAAGATTCGGCAGATCAACTTACCGATATTATTACTACCGAATCGAAAAAGGTTGTTTGGAGTCTTGCCATTGATGATGATGATGATGACGATGATGATATTAAGAACTTTTTCAAGCAAATGAATTTTGGATTCTTAAGAGATGGTAAAGAAGGTATTATTACTAAAGTTATGGAACTTATTAGACCTCCCGTACATCGTTCAGGAGAAGATATTGATGAAAAAATTAGCGATAATGTACCTAAACATGTTAAGAAAACTTTGCTTAATAAAGTAGGAGGGAATATATTTAGTTCTAAAAAAGATGCAGATGCTCAATCTCGTGGATTATTTTCAAAAAGTAGCGGAAAAGATGAGGAAGGAGGGAATAAATTTTCTAAAATCTTAAAAGTATTTGATGGAAAGGAAGGAAATTTTATTGATAGGATGTTCGCTAAATTGCCGGACAAAGTATCGGAATTTCTCCGACCTTATCTAGAAAATTTTGAAAGATCTTTATTGGAAAGTGTAGGAGAAGAATTTCGAAATAATATTTTCAGAGATGATAAATTTAAAAATGATGTTAAAAATATATTACTCAAGTTTGGTGATCCTGACGGTGATGGTAAAAATTTCTTCACTGAAGCTGCTGATGCTGTTAGCTCTATTTTCAAAAAAAAGAAAGATAGAGATGTATAATAGTTGTATAATGTATTTTGTTTTTGATGAGAAACAAGTATTTTTTTATTTTATTTTTTAATAAAACTATTTTTCTATTGTATCCGAGAATTACTCAAACGCTACTATTGCAACTCTTTGGAATACACAGTCACTCAACCTTATAAATATATCAATGATGAGTTTAACGCGACGTCGACGCGTTTGATTCAAGAATTATGACGTAAGATAAAATATTAATTTTAATACCAAAATAATTCGCGTTATAATAATTACTATACGTCATGTATAAATTAAATAATTATCTGAACATTTGTTTATAATTAAAAATTTGAAAGTTTTTTCTTTATTAATATAAATATCGTAAATAATAATATTGTATCATTTTTTCTATAATGACGCCGGTAATAATTAATTAAATTAGCTTTTTTAAAAAAAAAAGAAAAGAAAAAAACTTTGTCGAAGCGTGTTGTAATGAGTAAAACGAACAAAAGATATAATATATATTTACATTAAATTAAAATTACATGTTTAAGACCAATACATATATAAAGCAGGTTGATGAGTATTTGCTAATAATTGAAGAGGATCTTCATCTAACGATTCGTCTCTTCGATATTTCCATTCATCAGCATTTTTAATATCAAACTTATTTTGTTGTCTTCTTGAGGAATGTCCTCTAGTAATTGTCCTCATTTCCTTTTCTTTTAATTTACCATTTTTATCATAATCATCACTATCATAGTAATCATCATTATCATCTTTATCATGAATCCAACTAAGTGTCCAATCCCATACAGCAGAAATTAATGAAACCTTAGGACTCCAAGGAGGTAAAGGAGGTAAATTTGAGGTAGCCATTGAACCTCTTTTGGATGGTGACTTGTGTTCATCTTCAAAGGAAGGAAGGCATCCTCTAGATTTATTCTTATGCATATGACTACTACTTTCAATACCATTGATACTATTTGATGAGACTTCTGCTTCCTTGAATTCAATAGTTTCCTCATCTTCATCAAGTAAACCTAATTTACTATGTCTTCTAACTTGTTTTTGTTTATTTTTTGCATGAGCAGTAGATAAAAATATTTCACTAATATAAACACTCCAAGCTAATCCAGTTCTTTTTAATCTTTCCTTATCACTATAATCCTTTTCAATTAACATGGAAACTAATGCTTTTGGTTGTTTAATATTTAATCTCTCATTTAGTACATCAAAACATTTTGTTAATCTTTCTTTTATTAGAAACTCTTGATCACTTATTTCTTCTTTGTCATCATCATCATCTTTAATTAATGAATCAAAGTCAATCCATTCCATATTTAGATGATGAATTAAAGCTACCAACATAATCCCATCATTCATTCCAGTAAAGTCTTCAATAGGATAACAAGTTGAAGGTAATAATGAAGCGTAATCAATCAATTGCATATTAATCCAAAACAATAATCCTGATGATGAACTCATTGGTGATGGAGATGATGGATTTAAACGTAATGTTCTAAATCTGGTAGGTGAATTAGGATTAAACTTCTTTCCATCTCTTTTACCGTCATTGTAATTGGGAGGTAATGATAACCTATTATTACTATTTAATAAAATACGATCACGTATACTAGAATTTCGAGGAATCGGTTTAATATCGATTGACTGATCATTCGATAATTTATTCTCAGTTGATTTATTTTCAGTTGACTGATTCCCAATTGATTCATCCTCTGCTGGTTCATCTACGTGAACAAATTCTTCGGGTTCTTCGTTAATTATAGTAGGCAAATCAAGTATATTATCATCATTTCCTGAACTTTTTACAAAATTTTTTCTAAATTGAGATCGAAATGCTTCAAAAGCGGCATTATTTAATCCTTCACCGATTGAAGTTAATTCGCTTTCTTTAACAACATTCTCTTTAAATCCTTCTTCAACTTGATTTAGTTCCTCTTCAGTAACTTCAAATATATTACTAGTCATTTGAATAAATTTTGATATTATTAACCAAATTAAACCTAAGGTTAATTTAATGTTACCATCAACGATATCAACGGATCCGATGGCCTTTAATGCTATCATTCCACTATCATCTAATTTTTTTTGTAAAAATTCCAATACTTTATTAACATTTTGTATATAATGAAGTCGACTTTTACCACGTTCGAGTTTTGGCAAGTCTTTATCATCTTCATATAATATTTCAAGTAATTCTATCAACTTTTTCCCATCTCGAAAATCTTCGTCTATTGCTTTAATTTGTGGTATCCTTTTGTTTGGTTTTTCAAAAAGAAAAGATTTCGTTGCCACAGGTGATAAATTTGCTAATGCTTCTTCTAATGAACGTAATTGTATATTGACCCATTTTGTAAATTTAGCTTTTTGTACTTCGGTATATTTACCCGGTGTCTTCGAATAAAATTGTTCTTTTACGTTAACTTTGGAGGTTTTGTCCCATTGTTCTTGTAATGATTCTTTTAATGAATTTTTACGCATCAGTGATGATTTCTTTATCATTATAATATATAAGTTATACTTAAAAAAATAAAAATAAAAATAAAAATTAGAAAAAGGGAGTGAAAACTTTTTTATTTTCATAAATTAAGCTTATTTAAACGATAAAAAAAAACATTAAGGAACCATTTTAATTCAGTTACTAGATAAGGAAGGAACGTCATAACCGGTCTCAAATCGAAATTTGAGATTTTTTTTTTCTTTTTAAAAAAAAGTTGCTTTTTAATTTCTCGCGCCTTAAACGCACATAATATATATATATATATATATAAAATGTCTTTTCTTCCATTTGGCGGTGGTGGTAATGCTTCTTCACAGCAAATAAATCAACAAAATATTGCTATGGTAGAACAAGAGTATGAAGCAGTAACTGAAACATTTTATAGGTAATTCATATTAAATAATTGGGAATATTATTATTATTTTTTTTTTTTAATAACAGCTTTAGCTTTTTTAAATAAAATATATCATTTAGAATTGTGGGTACTTGTTTTAAAAAATGTATTCCTCCAAAATATATCGAAGGTGAATTAAATAAGGGTGAATCTGTTTGCATTGATAGATGCTTTTCTAAATACATTGAAGTTACAACGAAAATTGGGGAAGCTTTAGCTAAAAAAGGTCAAGAAGCTGGAAAGAGTGGTTTTGGTGTATAAAAATTGGGACTTTTTTAATTATACAAAATGAGAAGTAGAGGAAAAAAAGAAATCTTTTTTGATTAATAAAAAGATTTTATTGAGATAATTCAAATAACTAATAATCAGAAAGAAAGTCAACTGAAAGCAGTTTTTCTTAAATTATTTTAACGGATAGCAAGTCACCATCTTCCAAATCTGTATCTATTAATTTTTCATCAGGAGACAAGACCTCATCTTCAAATAACAATTTAATAGCAACATTCCCCGAAATGTCTTTAATCTTTTTATACCGCTCGATAACAGCCTGTACTGTGAGAGACTTTAAAAAAGAAAATGATTATTTTTTCATTAAATCTAATATTTTAATGTTTTAACCAAATAAACTGCAACATATTAAAACACTTGCCTTTTTGACCTTAAGTTTTTCAACTGTTTCATCTTGACATTGAACCTTGAGATAAATATAATTATCTTCCTCATTTATTATAGTTTTTATTTCATTATTTGTTTCAATGTCTATAGTCTCTCGACTAGAGTTCAATGATGTATTATGATCATTATCCATCAATTCATTATTAAGTCCATCGAACAATCGCTTCCTCTCTAATCCTTGTAGTTCTTTAAAATGCATGTACGATTCTTTTGTAAAAGCCTCTAAAATGAATTTATTCTAATTAAATATAAAAATTTGCAACATTGAAACATAAAAAGGAACATTATAGCCTACCCAAATGAACAAGTCCGGACATGCCCAAACTTGATGGGGTTCCGCGAGGAAAAACTTTAACATTCTTGTAAGTCAATACTAATTCTTGTTTGGGAATTCCTCTTTTTGAACATAGATGGGAGATTAATTGTTCAAAAGTGTCCTCCTATAAATATAATAATCTTAGTAAAATGTTACAAGGTAAAAGAAAACTTTTTTCTTTATGTTGTTATATTTACTGTTTTTATAATGAATTTTATAGGTTTTTCATAATCAGATATAATCCCATCCTCGTCGGATATCGACGAACCAAGATGATGTTTAGGCTTTACCAAAATTTCAACTTTGGTATCAACAGAATGGATTGAATTTCTTTTCCTCTGTTTGATGGACTGTTGGATGGCTAAAAGTTCGGGATCCAGCTCTATATCATCCTGTAATACGAGTGAATCGATATCATTAACATCGGAGCGCATCATTCCTGAAAACTGTGAAAAAGTCGCACTATAATAATTATACTGTATATTAGGCTTGAGAATAATTAACTTTTACTTGATTTTCAATATATATAAATATATATATATTTATTTAAATAAGAAATTCATACTGTAAAGGAGCAAGAGTAGATTGGAGCAAATAATGACTAATCTCAGGTGGTGGGGTTAAAGAATCTTCCTTACTGTCGAATCTTATATTCTCATCTGGATTTTTCTTGATTTTCTTACGTTCTTCCGCATCTCTAAAGAGTATAATATCAAAAGAAGGAATTTAACATTAAAGTTTATATTATAAAAATTTGTTAAATGAAAAACTTACGATATATAAACGTTATCACTTTCTTCATCAAACATCGTAATAGGTCCATCAGAAGTTGTCCAGTCTGATAATTTTCCTTTTCCTTTTGACTTTGCTTTTCGTTTGGTTCCATCTTCTTTCTCAGTCTCATTTATAAGAAGTTTAGGATTATCCTCAAGTGTTCTCAAGATTTCCGACTTTCCTATTTTAAACAATGAATTCAATAAGTTGCATTACTCTCCAGCATAGTAAATAAAGAAAAGCGGAATTAAAGATACAAACTTGATTTTTTGGAGGTAATTTTTCGTGAAAAGGTATTTCGCGTAAAAAATATATCGTCGTCGTCGTCGTCATTATAAGCGTTTAAACGAGTTCTCAATGGTTCGACGGTACCACTTTGACTTTGTGTTACTAAAGCGGAAGTACTGGTCGAAGGTGAACCAATTGTTACTACGCGTCGAGGTTTTGGTAGAAACGTTCGCGGTTTGATTTTTATAGCCTGCCGCTTAGTGATTACTTCCTCATCAGAAGCATCAGAACCCATCTTTCAATTACAGTTTGCTTTTGTTTTTATAAAGAGTAGAAAGAAGACTATTTTTTTATCACAATAAATTCATTTGGGTTCTTTTTTGACACGAATGATATTCCCAGAATAGGCTAATTGTTACACATGGTTATCTCGCCTAATTAGGTACAGAATTATTCATGATCCGATCTGGAATTACTTATTTGCGAAATGATATAGTTTTTAAAACAAGCATTATTATTTTTGTTAATTTGTCAAATTAATTTAATAAAGTGTTCTATAATCGCCATTGATCCTCCGACATGTTTGATATATCATTCTTATCGAATATCTAAAGTTCGAAATTAATTTTATTCCGTTATTATAAAATATCATGTGACGAAGAATCTTTAGATTTATTCTATTAAAAACATATTGGAAAATTAGGTGTACCGATAGAAAATCAATTTTCGCATATCAAAGAATTACCACGCATATTATTATACTTAGTAATAGAAATGCATGATTTGTATTTTAGCCATTATCATCTGGATGAAGAAAGTTCTGGATATTGGAGATTTTTGTTACAATTTTGTCAATGAAGTGAGATTTAGTCTTTTGTCGGTTTAACGGTACCAATCACGTATCGACTCAATTTTTGAGCGGTGTTCCCATATTTCTATAATTTATCCGCCTAAATTTAGGTAAAGATATAGAATAAGATACAAGCTATCCAACAAGCTAAAAAGCATCGAAATTGAATCTCCCACCACATTCTAAATACCAGGCTATAGTAATTAGTTCAATTGGTTCCTAATTTAGGTGACGATCAAATCTGATTCGATCCTCAGATTGGACCGAAATCGGTCATATGATCGGACCGCCGATCGTTAACATCCCTAGTTTCACAAAAGGATCACAAGACCGATATTTTTATCGATCGACCTTCCGCTTTCGCGTCATTTCATTTTTTCCACACTTATTTGACAAGTAAATTTGAATTATGTTTGGATATTTATTTTATAGAATAGTTTAGTAAGTCTATTCATACTCTTTACTGGTCTTACTTCTATTATTTAACTTTTTTTTTTTTTTTTTTTAATATATTCTATCCCTTAGTAATTTTGCTGGTTTCTTATACCCAGCTTATGCTTCCTTCAAGGCTATTAAAGTTGATGACACAAAAAGTATTAAACCGTGGTTGATATACTGGGTTGTAATTGCTTTTTTTGCTGTTAGTGAAGGAATTGCAGATACTTTTATATTTTGGCAAGAATAGAATGTTTTTTCTACTATAGCATTTTGGATTATCCAATGTTGATTAATTGATGATCAGATTTGTTAACTTGTTAAATTCTCATTTTTTTAAATTCAGGTTTCCATTTTATTATGAGATCAAGATGCTTTTCATATTGTGGTTGATGCTTCCACAAACACAAGGCGCTACCTATTTTTATTATACGTTTGTTGATCCGACGCTTACACGTCACGAAGAAGACATTGACTCTACCTTAGGAAGAGCACAACAAAAAGCAATCAATAAAGGAACTGAGTGGGGTAAATATGGATTCGTTGCATTAAAAAACGTAGCAGCAGATGGTCTCGTTAAGGTTATTATTACATGAACATTCAATTTTTCAGTTTTAAATTTTTTTTTTTATTTCATGGGAAATTGACCGGACATTTCGTTTTTCTTAGGGGCTACAAATAGTAATTCCGAATTATAATTATCAACAAGGAGATGGAAAAATATCGGTAGAAAAAATATTGCCTCACGTATTATCATATTTGTATGCCAATAATTCGGATGTAATTTCATCAGAAAATGTTAAAGAGGAGGCTAATAAATAGTGATCTGAAAAAAAAAGAATTAAGTGGATATTAAAATTACGAATTTCTCTTTTATTAAGTTAAAGAGATTTCATAGGAAGTTTGGTGAAAGTTATACAAATTCTTTTAAATCATCTAATCCCATTTATTCTTTTGTTTGAATTTATTTTTTCTTTTTTTGATCTAGGGTTTTGTGTTTCAAATAAGACTTGTTTTGTATATAATGTTTGGTATATAAAAATTTTTGTATAATTTAGAATAAACTTAAAGATTCACGCATATGCGATAAATAAACCTTCACATCATCACCTGTCAAAAATTTTAATGAGAAAATTTTCAGGAAAAATTTAAATCACTTTTTTCCTGTGAAATTGGATCGGATATTGACATTTGTCATGTCTTATATTAAAATAATTAATTACATTTCGTGAGAATGTTGAAACCGATGATTTCTCTTATAAAGGTTATAAGGAAATTTGCTAACTAATAATAGGTCAAGAAGTTTGTTAATGAATATTTATAACTCATTTAATCTAGAAAAATATTCAAATAAGCATTTTCTAATAATTTGAATACAATTTTTTAATAATAGTATATATTACAGATACCTGATAGTGTATTTCTCAAGTATACAATATGTTTTAATAAAGAAATTTTAAAACTATACTTCAATTTCAATAAATTAAAATGCTAACTCAGTTAATAATCCTATTAATATTAATTTATTAGCATTTAATTATATAGTATCATGGAATTTTTGATCTTTCATATACACAAAGAAATATTAGTAGATTATTACATAAAGAATCTTGATCAAATCAATTTTATAATTTTTTATTTTTATAATGATATTATAAAAAAACAAAAAAAATATATAAAAGTATAAATTAAAGAAAGAAAACTTTATTATTAAGAATTATTTAAATATATTATATTAGAGATGATTTTTTTTAATAAATAAAGATATTAATATATAATATTATACTAATTAATCTAAATAACTATTTATATAAAATTATTAATTTATTTATATCAATAAATTAGAATATCATAAATACTAATATCTATTAATTACTTTTTAAATTTATTTATTAAGGATATTAATAATAAAAGTAAAAATACCAAAAAATTTGTATTTTATAAATAAATATAGAATAATAAATCTTATAATATTACTTGAAATATGTATATAATTCTTTTATTAAAATTACAAGATAAATATATTAACATTTTTTAGAATATAAAATCTTAAAGATAGATCTGCATTTATTAAATAACAATTTTTTGGGTTACAACCTAAATTGCAATTAGTTGTAGAATTTTAAATATAAGATTTTATATATAAAGTCTATAACAAGTTGCAAATAGTTGCAGTTCAACTTAATAGATGCTAAAGTTATTATATCATTCAAAAAACATTATTATTATTATAATATTTAGTAAACATTTATTTAATTAAATAATATATTTAAATAAAATTTTAATTATAACATTTATTAATTAAATTACATTTATATTAGTTGGATATTCAAACAGATTGAATCAATTAAATTTATACAAGGTTTAAAAATGAATATATTATAAGTAATTTAATATATTATTCAAGATTAAAAAGATGTTACAAATAAACAATTTATAATTGTTAGCAATATACTAAAATTATTTCTGATAATATTGAACCTGATAATGATAATGTTAATTCACAAATCAGATATCATTCAGAAGATATACATATTTAATTTCAGTGCATAATACTAATATTAAGATTAATGATAAACAACATTATTTAAACTATTATTCAAAATCTGATGTAATATATATTTAATAAATAATATAAATAATAATAAATGCTAGAAAACATAAAAATTGAAAAAAATTTGAACTTATTATACATGAAAAAAAATGTATAAGTAGAAAATCACAATTTCAAGAATTTTCAATTTATATTTTATGTATACAATTGATATTTTACATATAATATTAGATTATTTTATATATTATAATATTATTTTTTACTTAATTTATTTGAAGTATTAATTCTAAGCAATGTTCTTTCTACATTTTTCTTTTTGAATCCTACAGCATAAGTAATTATCTATTCACAAATTGTTTGTAGTCTTGAGATTTCACATTTATCAAATTATTTTTATTTACTATATTATATAACTCTTCTAACATAGTTATAGCTGTATATCTTTTTGTTTTGTCAACTTCTATAACCAAAAAAAATATTCTAATAATTGTATAGAAATATAATTACCTTTACTTTTATAATTATATTACTAGTTACTTTTAAATACTTAACCTTTTAAAAGCTTAAATGTTAAAACTCAAGTAATTAATTAGCTAAAAAAATGCAAAAGAAAAATTGATAAGAAAAGTTGTTAATTTTTATTCATATGTAAAAAAGTAATACTTATATATTAAATTTAATATTGATAAAATATTTGTTTTGTTGATTAATTACTGATCTAATTATTATAAAAATAGAGTATAAAGCTTGTAAATTTATAAAAAATTTCATAATAATAAAAGAATATTGCAAGTGAAGATTATAACTAGCAGATCAAAGTTATTTTAGTTATAATATAGTCTAAATAGCTTTGGAATAATATGTAAAGTATTGGTTGAAGTTGGTTTTTGAATAGATGATTCTATCAACTTAGTAATTTTAGCAGGTAGAATTTCCTTCTATTGACTAATGTGAGATAAGTTACATACTTATATACAGTATATCCTACAAATTTTCTTCATTTGGTCATTCCAATTAAACCAATTTGAAATTCCAGATATAGTTTTAATATTAATCTGATCTTTTCTATTTGGTTATAAATTAGCTCTTCACCAACACTAAAGATGGTTCTCATAATTATTTTCAAATTTCAATTGAGTTGCAATTTAATTACTCCATAAGAAAATTTAATTGTATCACAAGTTGCAACGCAATTGCACTATTTTTTTTATTATAATGCCTACTTTAACAAATACTATTCCACTTTGTACTCCATTCTATACTAACTGAAGAAACAAAAATATTAATTTTATCAATGAAGATAATAAAAGACTGAAAATTTACACCCAATAATAATTCTTTTATAATACTAGATTTATCAAATCCCATTACAAAATGTTCTGAATATTCTGTTCCTTTTTTATGAGTAAATATTTTTGTACATATACTTAATTGCAGCAAAAGGTATTTCACATAC